GGGTTTCAGGATTGTTGATTCTCTGTTTGGCTTAGTTTTTCGGATCTTTGTTGTGGAGGGACGGCGTGGTGCTTCTGCCTAGACCGCCATCTTGCCAGAGACCTTACAATGGGTTTTTTTTTAATGATCATACAATGCATAACCAATATACAGTCTTGATAGAATGTTATTTGATTAGTTGTGTATATGTGCATATGTATTTACCCACACAAAAAATTATGCACCAAAATATCAAGTGACATCTTCTTTGGTAATGGTATTAATGAGAAGTTAAACTTCATTCTTTATATATTCAATTTTATGCATAACTACTGCTTAAATTCATATTTCCCTGATTTTTCAAGGATATCCTATGTTATAACAAAAAGTGGATGGGGGTGTGTGTGTATATATACATATATATATTTTAGGTAAATACATTCCAAATGTAATTTTGAAATTATAAATAAATTTCATTATCAAGCTAGTACATTTTATCCTATTTGATTTTTACTTAGGATATGTCTGAAATGTGAAATGTAAAGCAATGGGAACAACTTTTTAGTAACCTTACCAGAGTTTGTGCTATCCAATATATTTTCACTTTTAAAGAGCTAATCTGGATGACCATAAATTTATTCCTCCGATATGACCATTTCTATATTTGGAACTTACCTTTTGAAATTGCCTCCAAAACGTTCAGCACATTACTTTAAGTATCAAATAGGAGAAATATTTTTCATTTTAAGATGGAAATACAAACAACCTTTAGAATTGGGTCGGATTAATAAAATGGGATATCAAACTAGATACAACATCTTGTTTTACTCAATGTTAGGTTTGGTTTAAAAGTGACAATATCATTTTCTTCCCGTGTAGCTTCCAAACTGTTTTTATAAGGAAATTATAATAAAGAAGTTTTGAAATTATTTTGAATAATCCCTTCAATGTAAAATCCACATAAAACCTCAAGTAATTTAAATTGGAATTTTTAAGTCCTGATAAAAAACTTCCTTACTCCTACATAGCCACTGTGAATCTTGTCTTCTATGGTTTTACAGAAGATATTGTATGTTTGCAATTGTATTTTATTTTTTAGTCTTATTAATGGTAGAGCACCAAAATGACCTAGAAAATACTGAAACCAAGTTATATTCTTAAAGTAAGAAAAAAATGGTTACTCACTGTGTTTATGCAGCCAGATAGAAGGTTGAAGTGCAGGACTGAAGCTGTTTAGGCAAAATTATTGCAAGGTTATGGCTGCCTATTTTTCTTTTCAGCCCTTTGACATCTACTATCATATTCTCAATAGTTCAGCCTGGCCTTATTAGTCTCATTTGCATGAGCAAGGCTGTGTAGTCAGCAATGTAATTGCCTAAATAAGCAATCATATTATTCCAACTGAAGGTATTTTTACTTTCCCTAATGAGAAAGCAGGCTGCAATACCAATCATTAGACACATCTGACATATGTCAAATAAACATATTAACAACATTATCCTCTAGAGAACTTGATTCCTCAGGAAATACTTGCCTATAAATCCTGGGATACACTTGCTGAAGAAATATCCACTTAAATATATCCTGGTTGCTCCGTTTTTGCAGGGCACGGCTTTACAATCTTCACTGTCTATTTCACAGATATTTCCTTCATATCTTTGGAGACAGCTATAGTTGCAATTGTGCAAATGCATCAGGCAGAGGCCATGCACCAATGTATTCTGGTTTCCTGACATTGTATTCCTTACATCGAGAATACAGAATCTGTCAATGTAACCAAGAAGACAACTGCATCTGAAACGTGCAAAAACAAACATAAATAATTAGCCATAGTGTTTAAGTCACATATTTACTTAAATATATATAAAAGAACGTTTAATAATGATGGTTGTGTGGTATATTTAAATAACGTGGCACAGTAGTTATGAACTACAGCTGCTAACCAAAAGGCTGGCAGTTTGAATTCACCAGCTGCTCCTTGGAAACCCTGTGGGGCAGTTCTACCCTGCCCTATAGGGTCACTATGACTCAGAATTGACTCGACGGCAACAGGTTTGGTTTTGGTATCCTCATAGAAAGTGTCTGTTCTTGGCCCAACTTAATTTCGCCCATGGAGAAGAACGGTGGGTGAAATGAAGAACTTTGGTGACAAACAGACCTAGACACAAACGTCAAATCCAAGTTCTGACACTTAATTGCTGTTATCTACAGTAGTATCCTTAACTCTGCTGAGGCAAAATGGCAGGATGTGTGTGTATATAATTATATAACATCTCAAGATTTTTGTGAAAATATGCAGTAATGTTTGAAACCTAATTCCATGCCTAATAGGTCTTCAATAAATAATGTTATATTGATAGTATTCATTCATTTATTTGTTTACTGATTCTATATCTATCTATATATATAGATATGAATTTTCAATGTGACTAGCATTGTCCTAAATTAAGAGATACTAAGGTTTAACAAGTCCATGGTTTTACGTCAAAAGAGGCAACTTCTTCTAACAAAACCACTAATAGGTTTTATTACCGGTGTTTGAGTATCTCTGTCCTTCAGAAGCTGAGAATGTAAGTGCTCTGAAGGCAGGAAAAAGGCTTTTTCAGTTTGAATCCGTATCACCTAACATAGTGCCTAGCATATGGAGAGAACTAAAAAAAAAAAATATTCAATGTAAAATTATTGAATATATAAATGAAGTACTGAAAAGATGCTTAGAATCTATGGGAGGTGTAGATGATAAGTCATAGAATGTAATCATCTCTGCAGTTGAGGTAGTACAGATCTGAGAATTCTTAGGAGAGAAAATTAGTCTTTTAGGGTGGAGTGGGAGTGTCATGACATATTCTGTATATATTGGATTAATCAAACTCAACTTGTCAAACAATGCAATTATTATTCTAAAATATAGCTGAATGACAATGCCAGCTAATCTTTAGAATATTTAAAGAGAAATCTATAATTTATAGAGGAAATTTACCAAGTCCTGGTGGCACAATGGTTAAGGGCTTGGTTGCCACCAGTGGCTCTGTGGGAGAAAAGACCTGGTAATCTACTCCTGTAAAGATTACAGCCTAGGAAACCCTATGGAGCAGTTCTACTCTGTTATATATAGTGTCACTATGGTTAAGTGCTGGGCTGCTAACCAAAAGAAAGCTTGGCTCTTCAAACCCATCAGACCCTCTGAGTGAGAAAGATGTGGCAGTCTGCTTTCATAAAGATTACAGCCTTGGAAACCCTACAGGTAGTTCTACTCTGTCACATAGGGTCAGTATGAGTCAGAATAGACTGCACAGCAGTGGGTTTTTTATTAGTCGGAATCTACTCAACAGCATACAACAACATAGAGAAAATTTAAAGCTATACTTTAAATTTTAAAATATTTATATTCTTGACTATATGTATCCAATTCATTGATTAATTACTTTTCATTTTTTTAAATATAGATTTTGATGAATTTGCAAATCATAATGAGACTTTGATTTAATGCAACATTAATTCCCACAGTAATTTCAATTTATCAAACATATATTTTCTAGTGGTTTTTTAATATAGTTTTTTCTATTGTATGATAATTAAGAAATACAGACTGCTTCATACAAATGTATTTTAAATATTTACATGTTTAATATTGAAAACCATGTTGTTGGCTGTCAATAAAGGAAAAAAAAATTTTAGTTAGAAAGGGATGGGTTTTTAACCTGTTTTTTCTTCATTTCCTACACAGACACACATCCACACACACAGACATATGTTTGTTATGTTATTTTAATATAATTACACATTATATAATATACCCAAGTGCTTTTATGAAAATATTGTATATACATTCATGAATTGAAAAAGAAAGCATGCAGTGGGAAAAAAGACCTAAATCATAGTGTTACTGTTAAGTCCAGAGTAAGTTTTTCTGATTTTCAAATATCCTTTGCCAGGTAGTCAAAGGACACTTAAGATAATCATGAAAACACATCAATGAGTTGAAAAGAACTGTCACATCACTTTGCTTATTATTATTAGTGAAAATTAACCTACTGAACCTAAGTCATTAATTATACCCATAAATTTATAGAATAGCAGGGATTTAGAGCCAGCAAGAATGTTAAAGATCAATTAGTTCAGATCTTTCATCTTGTAGTTTTGAAAAACTTAGCCATTTTATGCAATTTGCCACGGGTCACTGCGTTTATTAATGACAAGCAGTGCAGTCCATGCTTTGATGTATTCAAAGCACTGGCCTTAAAGGGAGAAAGAACTTTGATTCTAATTCTTCTTCTTTAAGTTATCAGTAAATAAATTCCACTGTGCCCTGGTTTCCTCATCTGAATAGTTTTCAGAAGAACATCTATTTCACAGAAGAGGATTAAATGTATTCATCACTGAAAAGTAATTTCTTAACTGACCTCTCCTATCAAGCACTTTTACAAAAGAGTTACCCAAAACAAAGCTGTAGAATATAGTTACTTGCCTTCAATGCCTCCTCAAACCAAAAAAAACTAAACAAAACAAAGCAAAATCTAGGTAGAACATAACCAACTGTCAGATGGCAAATAATTCTGCCTATGTCAATCCCTTTTTAAATATATTGGTGTAGATGAATTATTAATACTGCTCCTTTCACTTTAATAAGTGTCCTTGTTGGGATGGTAAATTATACCGTCCCCTACCAATAATGTCAAGATAAATATGCAATTGTGTGTTTCAACCATACCAATTTTAGTCATAATGATATTTGCTATAGAAATGTATTAGTAGAAATAATACTACCTAGAATTCACCTAGAAGAACTAAATGTGCATCTCCATTTCAACTTCTTATACCAAAATAAATTCCTGGGCTTTATATGCTGGATCAAAATGCATGTGCATTTCTAATTGTGATAAACTCGTTGCTGTGGAGTAGATTCTAACTCATAGTTACCCTATAGGGCGGAGTAGAACCGCCCCATGGGGTTTCAAAGGTAATCTTTACGGAAGTAGACTGCCACATCTTTCTCCCACAGAGTGGCTGTTGGGTTCAAGCCTCCGACTTTTCAGGTAGCAGCAGAGTTCTTGACCACCATGCTACCAGGGATAACTGTGACAAAAATGTCCAATTGTACAAAGATAAAGTGATGCCATATGTACTGACAGGCTACAATTAATAAGAAGTATTAAGTTAAAAAAAGGAAAGGCACAGAATAGTGTGAATAGTATTCTACAGCCTCAGTTCAATAGGAATATTGATAGAAACTACTAGCTCATATTACATAACTGCTTTTCAATAGGTATAAAATATGAATGTCAAAATCAAATAACATAGTAAGACAATGGCAAATTTAACTTCACTAGGAAGCACACAGATGAACTATACATATGTATTTTTTTTTTAATGAGGATAAGTGAAAGATTGTGTTTGTCTTTAAAAAATAAATGTCAGAGGCATTTTCAGTAACATGGGTGCCTTCGTGCTTGCTATGAGTCAGAATTGACTCAACAGCAACGGGTTGAGCATTGTGTCAGCATAAGTTTCAAAAACAACATACAGCACAGCAAAAGACATATTCTGAAATTTGGAGTGTGACTTTAGTGAAATGTCACGTATCATTTATGTTTATATCAATCATTGTATACAGCCTTTAAATAATTACATTGTGCCCAATAACCACAAGAAGATAGCATCTGTTTGTACTGATGCTTTCTCAGCACTCCCTGCACAAGACAACTGTTTTAATATTCTTCAAGGGAGCTATAACCATTTGCTGTAATGAATTAGTTAAATATAACCTGTGTTTATATTGTCTCTCGCTTTGATACGTGGGGGTGTGTTGCTTGAATTTGTCTTAATGTTGAAAGACTCATGAGACAGAGTATATTTATCGGTTTAAATTAGGGTTATGGAACAATTTATATCTTTTAAGATAGTATTAATATACATGAAAACATCATATATATATTTTTTCCTCTGAAAGACTAGTATTAATAGCACCATAAGTCATATTTATCAGTACTACATTGTATCCTAAATGAGAAGGATAATTGAAAGTCAAAATCTGCCAACATGAATTTTACACTGACAGAGAATGGTAATTTTAGACAGGAAATAATCCATTTCTGGAACATAATTGCTCTGGTGTAATATTTGGGGTTCAGTTTGTGACCAGAATTGAATCAGAGAGCTAAGATGGTGTGTGTTTTTATTTCTGTATAATCCAGTTTCACTTTGTATCTAGGGAGTCAATTTTCTTTATACTTTAGGTGGAAAGGTGTGCTCATGGTGCTTCTCCTTAAGTCTCTAAAACCTATACAGCATAAGAATATTCAAATTCAGTATCTGAATATTAAGAACTACTCTCAATAAGGTTCCTATATTAATTTAGGTAAGTTAGGACAAGTGAAAATGTGACTTAAGAAACTTAGTTTTGTTGCAGTGGCCTGGAAGGAAGGTAGGGAAGGACAGATGCAAGGAAACAGTATCCAGAAAGATACTGATAGTAAGCAACTTGGAACCTTGCAGATGGACAGGAGTGGTCATTTCAAGACATACTGTGGAAATGCAATGTACAGTATTCACTATTAAATGTGCGTGGCATATGAGTTGGGGGAGGAAAGAAATGAATTTAGAATCCTTCCTTCAGGTCTGAGCAGTTTTGGGACTGTGTCATCCATTACCAAAACAAAGACTTGATGGGTGGACATTTGGGGTAGAAGCTGGGTGTTTACATTTGGCCATAGCACATTTGAGAAATAAACAAACAAATCCAGAGGTCTACTACTCAGTTGAGCATATAAGTCAATATCAGGTAACAGGCCCAG